TTGTGTTTGTTTGGCGCATGGTGTTGGGACATACGGTACTTGAAGGGTGGGATATATTTATAACTATATATGTATCTTTATCTATCCTTTACATTTTGCTTCAGTGCCAGCACAGGAAGCTTATTATTTCTAGGGCATGGCAAGGAATGATTTGTTAATTCTTACTCAACATCATGTAGAACTCATTGTCTCCTGATATGCTTCATCTTGCACTTGCTGCCAACCTAGAATTTCATGTGCCATTTATTATCAAACTTTCTCATGCTATGAGGCAGCATAGTCAGGTATAACTCGGGCTAGCTGGATGAGGTCCTTTTCTGCTGTGATTCTTGATAAGTATCAGATTTATCATCATTTCAACATGTTATCTGTTCAAGGGGTTCTGTCTCTCTAATAATATAGTTTCACATAATAATTCTATTAAACAGTTATTTCTGCAGTCAGTGCACAGAACCTCTGGGAGGAATAGCAGCCTGGGCTGGACCGAACTTTCTGCATCTCCTTTGAATCACAGCACAGAAGAAACAGCTAAGGGGCTTTCAAAACAGCCACACAAAAGCTCTTTGGAGTTGCACAGTCAGGACTGCAAGCTGGTACTGAGCTAAAACGTAACAAAACCACCCTGGACCAGGCTGTATAAGCCAAAAGGCCTCATCACTCCCAGTGATATGGAAAGTTCTCTTCCCAGTCTGATGCTCACGAATTGTGTATCTGAGGGACTTATCCCACAACTCTCAAATGATGGCTACCACAGATTTCCAAAGCAGCTAAATTCTGCTAAATTTCACAGCCCAGCAAACATGCTGCCCTAGGCAATTCTGAAAAAAGGAGGCATAAACAGTGGGAGAGCTACATTTACTTACTTATTTTGCAAACCTGTCCATTCCTTTGCCTAAATAGGAGTGGAGCAGAGGACATGAACCTCTAATCTAGAGACTCTGGAAAGCTATATGAACACCTCTCTCATCCAGAGGATCTAGTAAGCTATGCAGATGTTCTTGGGTCATAGATCACGGATGTTGACCCTAGTGGCATTTGCATCCCAGATATATGTGGCCAGTTTTTATCTTAAGGGTTGGAAACCACAACACTTAAGAGAACAAGTGGGTTTGTTGCAATTTCTGTTTCAGTTCAGTTCACATGCAGCTCCAATAGCTTTCATCGATTTGCTAACTCCCTGCTTCAACAATTAAAATTTATGGTACCATATTTATGTTATGGTAAATGTGCTGAAGAAGTTAAATATCAGAGAAGACACTATAGCTAATTTTTAGCTTGGCTGCAGTTTTAATCCATCATAGTGGTCTTAATCCAAAATTCTCCCACACTGCCAGCATCAACAGGTAGAAATGGGTGAGAGGAGTTGAGAATTTGCTATGGCAGTTAATCAAAAAGGGGTGAAGAAAGAACGGGTGCCATCAAACATTTGCCACAGGTTGATAAATATGTGGTGGCCATGGCAGTCCCCTGGAGGAAATACCTAAGGAGAACAGCTGCGGATACCAATTGAATAGATTAAAAAACAACAAGCAAACACTGCAGATGTTGTGTAAGTAAACTGCAGAGCACTGGAGGGGGATCAGGACACGTGGAGATGTGCGGTAAAAAGGGAGCTTCTTTCAGCAACACGCTCCCTTCGCGCAGCGCCTGAAGTTCCAGACCCAAAGCAGAAACCTCACCGACAAGAGCTGCCACCCTAAACGCACTTCCCTTAGTTTCATTGCATTGAGTCTCCTGCGCGCTACTTAGAAACGACTGGAAATTAAGCCGTGTATAAATTGTCGAAATAAAATAATAAAAGTAATTCTCTTTGCACTCTTCAGCGGGTAAACGGTGTAAATGTGTTCAGGATCTGGGGGTTTCTCTCCTTTAAATATGTACAAAATTTCAAGTGCTACTATTTACTGAAGGATCTTCTGTGGTTTACAAGGAGGACGACGACAGACAAAGCCTTGAATCCTTGAAAGCCTAGGCAGAAGCAGGCCTCTTTCCTTTTCCTTCTTAAGGTTAAGGGAGAAATGAGCGCTCGTTGCTGGGAGTTGGGCTTGGGCGGCTGCAGGTTTGCTCTTCAGTTAGGGAAGGTGAGTACAGTATTTCACTGGCTGTTCTCCATTCTACGCTGGAAAGACCAGGCAGAGGGAGGAGGCGACGTGTCTCGCGTGGATCAGGGCCAGCCCGCTTGCAGGCGCCTTTCCATGGAATGAGGTTTCCTGCTCACTCGGGATTTAGGCCGGATCCTTCGGCCCTCCGCCAGTTGCTGAGCTACAACTCCCACCCGCAGGCGCAGCAAGCCAGAGGGGCTGGGAGTTGTAGTGCACAGCATCCTAGAGCGGTGGAGGTGGAAGGAACCCCGAAGGTCGCCTCCTCCAACCCCCTGAAGCATCAGGCGGGCCAGAGGCTCCTTCCCGCCGGATCTAGTCCGCGGCCCCGTCTCCAGCAGAAGCCCAAGAGCAGCGGGGCAGGAGCCGCCTCCGCCTCGGCCTGTCCCCGGAGGAGCCCGGGCTCTGCAGGCCTTCCTCGGCCTGCCCTCCTTCGCGCGGCCGCCCAGCAAGCCCCGCCCCTCCGGCCAGAGGCCTCCGCGGGCGGCGGCGGGGAGAGAGGACCAGAGGGGCTCCGGCTGCTCCGCCTGCGCGCTTCCCGGGCGGCCTTCGGAGAGGAGACGCTGCTCTTTTCTCCCGGTCTTTCCCTCTCCAGAGCGAACCCGCCGCCGGCGCAGACGCTTCTTCCCGGGGAGCCGGGCAGTCGGCGCTCCTCGGGCTTGGCTGGGCGCGGCCCTTCGACGGAGCCCCGGCTTCTTCTGTTCCCCCCACCCCGAAAGGCTCCGTCCCGAGCATTTCTGATCAGCTGCCTGCCCGGCCGAGCTTCCAGAGCCCCGCGCCCGGCTGCGGGAGGCGACTAAAATAAGGCCGGGCGGCATAAGCCCCGTCCCGCCCGCCCCCTCGGACTGGCAGTGCCCATCCACTTGGCGGGGAGCTCGACTCTTCTCTTGCGGGGGCGCGAGGGACCTGGCCGGGGAGGCCGCCTCGCCTGCGCGCCCGTCTCCTGCAGCGGAGCCCCCGAGCGGGGCAAGGGTCGCGTGGGACTCCCGGCTCCGAGTCGCGGGGCTCGTGGAGACCGTGTTGCGTGCTTCCCTCGTCGGGGACTCGGCTCTGCGGGCGCCGGCGCGGCCCTCCAGCCTTCCTCGCCACAGAGGAGGCCAGCGCCCCGGTCCCTGATCAGAAGCGCTGGCCGCGGAGGCGGGCGCAGCTGGCGACTCGGCGGGGAGCCCCGAGGGCACCTTTTCCTCCGCCCGCCCGCCCAGTTTTCCTCTTTCCGCAGCGTCGTCCCCAAGAAGTGACTTTTCTCTCGATCCCGATCCCTTCTGCCTTGCCACTCGCTCGCCGGCTCCGAGAAGTTGCACCCGCCGTTGGGCTGGCATTTTTTGGCGTGGCGGTGGGGGCTCTCGGCGACCGTGAGAGAAGCCCGGGGGGGATTTTCTTCCGGGCACGTTGCTCTCGATTGAAGCGCAAACTGCTCCTCCCCCTTCCTATGGATTCGTTACACATCGGGGAGGGAAACCAGCAGTTTTATATCCTCGGTCCTGTAAATGTGGGTGCAAGAGCCAGGCTATCTTCAAACGAAAACGTATATACACATATTAGATTTTCCCCACCCTTTTAAAATTTTTGGATGGCTTTATAAATTAATTTCTAAAAATATTAGAATGAGAAGTCATGTTTAAGGCAATAAAGAGGGAAAGAGCCAGTGGGACGTGGGACGAATCGGGCAGAGTGATCCATTACTCCACTCGAAATGGTCACTCCCTAATCTGTTATCCGACAACTCCACCCCAGCCATTAGTGAAACGCCAAGAGAAAATCCAGACTCAAATTTAAGAGAGGGGGGTTGTTGTCAAGGAGTCAAAGGCAAAGCCTGCGCATAATCTGAATCCCAAATGAGCAAATATAAATGACGAAGGGGGAGGGGAGACCGAGTTTTAAAACATCCCCGCACTTAAAGAGCCAGTGTTCTCTCTCCCTCCTTTTGAAAAAAGCGTGACCCGGAGGTCTTAAAATTCTTATTTTATAACGTCAAATGTTCAAAAAGCAGATATGGAACTCAGAACATTTAAGTAAAGCACCTTAAAAGAGATCTTCCTGAATTGCCAAGTGGCCAATTCCAACTTGCAAACAAGAAAGGAAAGGGAAAAGAGCCATTCCAACAACAGAGAGGCACTTCTATTCAGCTCGGAAAAGAAAAAGAATCGGTGAAAAAGTTTATTTTCCTTGCTCATTCCGCCCCCCTCTTCCTCCGCCCCCGAGTCTTTAGGAAAAGCCAGTGGCTCTCCACATTTTTTAAAAAAGGCAAAGTGTTCCAAGCTAGAAGAATGCAAGTCAGTTCCCCTTTCTTATTTTTTATTATTCGCTTTAATAAACCACTTGATCTTTGCTTGAGAATCTCCATTAATTGAATGGGTTTGCCTTTTTGCCAGGTTCCTTTATCATTATTTATGGGCTCTAAATTGTTTAAAAGTTCCCTTGACGTTCAATTTACAAGTTTGGAGCCTTTTTTTTCTTCCGCCCTGTCCTGCCTTTTGTCCTCAAGAAAGACATCGTGTTGGAAGGGCTTTGAAAAGCCAAACATGAGAGGCCCGCCCGTGAAAAGGGAGCAGGCTCCGTCCCTTTTAATTCCGCCCGGCGAGTGAATAACTCGCGAACATAATTGCAGGAGCCGCTTTCAAAGGAGGGGCTGCCTTCACTTTAAGGCCCACATGGAGTCTATTTGGGGCATTTCGGAATTTTCTTTCTTTCTGCCCCCCCCCTCCATCCTCCATTTATAAAAGCGTGAATAAAATAGTTGCCTTTTTAGAAAAAAAGAAAAGAAGAAGGTTCAGTGCCTTTTGCTCCTTGCAAATTGGTGTATCTGATGGTGGGGGAAGGTCTTTTAAAAAAATAAAAACAAAAAAACCCCACAAGAACCCCTTTGTGACACCCACCCTGGTCACTTTCAGACAAACTTGGATGGGGGAAGGCGGCTTTTCTCGCCCAGGTTTTCCTCAAAGGAAAGTTTGCCGGGACCACTGAGACAGCCACAGCCGCCAAAACCTGCCTGGGTGATGGAAGGAGCCGTCCATTCGAAAGAGCCAGAAAATTACGGCTAATTAATAATACCAGAGGAGCCCCGCCTCCCTCTTCCCCTCAGGGAAGGGCACCATTCAGTCTCGACTGGGCGGGGGGACCATCTATTCCCCCATCCCCGCCCCGCGGAGCCGCGCCCGGCCGCCCCGTCGCAGGAGCGGAGATCGCCCGCTGCACCTGCCGGGGGCCGAGGAGGGGCCCGCGGGGTCCAGGGCCGGGGGAAAAGTTTGCTCTCCGGGAGCCCAAAGGCGGCTGCTGTTGCGGCTGCTGCTTGTGGCAGGCTCCCAATTGCGAGCGCAAAGCCGGCGAGCCCGTCTCAAGAGCCAGGAAAGAGCCGCCGACTCGCCCGCGCTGCTGCTGCTGCTGCTGCTGCCAGACGGTCCGTCCTGCCCGGGCCACCCGCCTCCCGTCGCGGCTGCTTGGGAGGCTGCAGGGCGCTTTTATGAGCTGCAGTCGCCCGACGTTAAACGCACTGCAGAGAGTTCTTAAGGAGCCTGGGATCGATTCTGGTTAATCGCGGCTAACCGCGTCTGGGACCCTGTTTTACAAGCAGCTCGCAGCTCCGCTCGTTTTCTAAGCAGTTAAACATCGGATGACAGAAGCCCCGACTCTCCCCACCGGGGCGCGGGAGGCTCTAGATGTCTGTCTTGCAGTCCCGCCGCCCGCGCAGAAAAGGAGCGAGGACGCCCCGTCCGAGGCAGGGAGGGGGGCAGAACCCCCGCCCATCTCGAGGCGCCTCTCGCCAGCAGCATTTCTCGTTTCCCCGGCGCGCTGAACCTCCGGGTGCGAAAGCGGGAGGCGGGGGCTTGGGAGGGGTCCCACTCGTGCTCCAAGGCAGGCATCCCCAAACTCGGCCCTCCAGCTGTTTTGGGACTACAACTCCCATCATCCCTAGCTAACAGGACCAGTGGTCAGGGATGATGGGAATTGCAGTCCTAAAACAGCTGGAGGGACGCGTTTGGAGATGCCTGCTCCAAGGGGAAGCGGATGGCCCCCCTCCCTGCGCCCCCCAGCTACCCCTCTTTCTTGTCCTCCTTCCGCGCCCGGTTAGGCCCCAAGGTGACCGGCTGGAGAAAAGAGGCGTATTTGGGGCGGGGGTACGGGGGTGCGGGTGCGGAGCGCCTCCGGAGGGCCACTTGCGAGCCTTCGCCCAGCTTGGTCTCGCGGGCCAACTGAGTTTGCCAAGGGCCTGAGTTGGGAGAAGGCATTTACTCCCCAGCGATGTTGTGGAGTCAAGAGACTGAAGGGGAAAGGGGGAGGGGGATCAAGAAAGGGCTGGATCTACAAAGGGTTGGATCGATACATTCATAAATATCGATCGGTCTTTATTTTCCAATTAACTACGCATGTAAAGAAATTCCTATTACCCGCCTAACGGGCCCCATTTCTCTCTGATCGTTATCTTGTTAGCGCCTCCAAAAGAGATTTCTGCCCATTTGCCGTCGTTAAATCTCCACTGCAAAAGCACGATCTGCTTCGATGGCTCGTCTCTGCTTCAAGGTCTCTCTCCCTCCATCGTGGGGGCCGCTCGCGGTTGCTTAGCTCCTTGACGCGCCGCCAGACTTCTTCGCTTCCCAAAGGTCATTCACACGACTCATTTTACACGCGCGGATCCTTCACCTCTTTTACCTACCCCCCAAAGGTTGAAAGGGAGCAGGAGGGCCAAGGAAGATCAGTAGGGGTTCCTAAGCTGGAGAGGCGAAAGCAGCCGACCAGCCTCTTCCCACAAGGTGTGTATCAAGGCGTGACTGCGTGGTTTCAAAACGTGACGAGAGTTTTTGAGGACACGACCAGCAGCTAACTTCGAGGGGTCATCCCCGCCATCACTCAAGGGGATAGACGGAAAAGGAACCCCAAAAGAGCACCCAAACCCTCAAACCCCACCGAGGCTCCGTTGCTGCAGAGCTCCTGGCCAAGTGACCCGGAAGGTGCCGGGAACGTGGGTAGCCCCGCAGACGCGCGCGGAGTCCCCTTGTCCTGGTGCCACAGCCCAAGCCCCCGGACCACGCGCGTCCGGCTGGCAGGGAGCTTCCCACCGAGGTAGCCTCCGCGCCCCGATTCCGGGACCGTCGCGCTCCTGGCGGCTCCCTTCTGCTGGACGGGAGGAGGGAGGGGGTGCGCGGAGGGGCGGGGCCACCAGCCCGTCTCTCGCTGCTTCTCCCCACACTGCGCCACACACACACACACACACACACACGCCGCGCGCGCTTTCCTCCTTGCATCTCCGCGGCCAATGGCGAGAGGCGCAGGCGTCCACGTGGGGCCGGGAAGGGTCCAAGGCTGGCAAAATGTGAATGAGAAAGAAGAGCGCGATTCAAAGGTTCTGCCGGCGCCCGGGAGGGAGCGACGGAGCGCGCCAGACGGAGATCGGGGCACGGGGCTCGCCCAGGAAGCCAGGCGGGGGAGCCAGTCCCGCAGCCCGGCCGCCGCGCCCGCACCAAGCCGAGTCCAGCGAGGGAGCGCCGCCCGGCCGCCGGATCCCGAGCAGCGCGCCGGACTGGAGCAGGGCCCCGCGCCCCGATGCCGCCCGGCCCCGGCCAGGCACAGTCCGCGCTGAGCCTCCTGCGCCGCCGCCGCCGCCGCCGCGGCTCTGCTCGCCCGCCCTCGCCGGCCCCGCAGGCGCCCCGCCGCCCCGTCCAGCTTCCCGCCTGACGCGCCCGCCGGCCCCGCAGCGCCTCTATGAGTGCAGCCTTTCCGCCGTCGCTCATGATGATGCCGCGCCCTCTGGGAAGCAGCACTGCCTTCAGCATAGACTCGCTCATCGGCAGTCCGCCGCAGCCCAGCCCGGGCCACTTCGTCTACACGGGCTACCCCATGTTCATGCCCTACCGGCCCGTGGTGCTGCCGCCGCCGCCGCCCCCGGCCGCGCTGCCCCAGCCGGCGCTGCCGCCCTCGCACGGGCACCACCACGCGCAGATGCCCAGCCTGCCCGCCAGCTTCTGCTCCAGCCTGGCGCAGGGCATGGCGCTCACGTCCACGCTCATGGCCACGCTGCCGGGCACCTTTTCCGCCTCGGCGCAGCACCAGGAGGCGGCCAGGAAGTTCGCCCCGCCGGCGCTCCAGGGCACCTTCGACAAGGCGGACGGCCTGCAGGCCGAGGCCGAAGACGGCAAGGCGTTCCTGGCCAAGGAGGGCTCGCTGCTGGCCTTCTCGGCCTCCGAAGCGGTGCAGGCGTCCCTGGGTGAGTCCAACGGGCCGCGGCGGCGCGGGGAGGGGAAGGGGGTTCCGTGGCGCGACCCCCACTCCCCACGCAGGGACGTTGGGCTTGGGTTTGTTGCAGCGGCCACACCAGGTGGTTGTCCTCCAAAGGTTAGCTGGTGATCTCGCCTTCCCCCGGCCAAATTTAATCCACATTTATCCTTTCAGGGGCGGGAATCGGATCAATTAAACAACACCCTGTTGCCCAGGTTCCGTTTCGGAGCGTGGCTTTTTGGAAGTTGAAAGGACACCCTGGGCAGAGTTAGGCCGTCTGGGTGGGGGGCAGCCCGGGCGCAGAGGATGGCCGGGTCTTCTTCCAAGGAGACTCGGGGAATTCAGTCGCCGAGTCACACACTGGAAATTGAAGTGGCCCCATTTGTACGGATTGGTTTAAGTGTTTCAGCCTTTCCGTCCCGTTTCTCCAGTCCAGGAACGGCTAGTGCAGGCCCCGAAATGCTCCCTTCTCGGGCTGCTTCTCTGCTGCTGCTCAAGCTCTTGGTGGCGTTTTTGCTGCTGCTCTGGTTGCTCCTTTTAAATCACTTCGGAAGCGACCGGGAAGGGGTCTGAGCGGGGTAATGCCGCAGCCTTGTCGAAGGAAAAGCCAACCATTGAGGCCCAGTAAAGCAAGCACTTCACTGGCGTGAGTGACTGTTTTCCCAGGAGTTGGAGGGAGAGAGGAGAAGGGCGGGGAGGAAGCGCCCCTCCCCGGGGACGCCCTTGCCCAGCCGTCGAAGGGCCTTGCGAAGAGGGAGGGAGGGAGGGACCGCCGGCTTGGGGCTGCTTCAAGTTCTTTCCGGCGGCGCCGCCCGCTTCAAAACTAAGCCGCCCTTCTTGGGCTGGGAAAGAGCGGCGTCTCGGCCTGGCAGGCCTAGTCCGACTCCCTTCTTCGCCAAGGGGCCATTTGCAGAGACTGCCGTCGGGCGATGTTGCCCGGCGGCGTTCACCACGACACGGCTTATCTCGGCCTGACACCCAGCGAACCCCGCGGCCATTTCTCGGTGGAGAGAGTCCGCTTGGCGGATGGGGTGCAGCGGCCTGCGCCTCCCCGGGGCTGACGCCGCGGCAGATTCGGGGACCCAACGGAAGGAAAGTTTCTTCCGGAGGCAGATCGGGGCTTTCTCTCGCTGCCCCCGCTCCCCTCTGCCGTCCTGCTTGTTTCCAACATCCCCAGGCCCGACGCGGGCGGAGGGGGGCGCGGGAAGGGGCGGCGGGCGGGGAAGGGGAGAGGCGCAAGGAGTAACGCGCGGTGCTCTTTCTGGCTTCCCCGCAGGAACCGTCCGAGGCGCGTCGGGGAAGGAGGACGCCAAGGCGGCGGAGGAGGAGGCCAAGAGCAAGGAAGAGAGCTTCTCAATGGACAGCGACCTCGACTACAGCTCCGACGACAACCTGCCCGGCCCCGCGGCGCACAAGGAGGACGACTCGGGCCACGGGCTGGAGGAGGGCGGCCCCAGCTCGGCCAGCGCCAACAGCACCACGTCGACGGGCAAGAACCGGCGGCGGCGGACGGCCTTCACCAGCGAGCAGCTGCTGGAGCTGGAGAAGGAGTTCCACTGCAAGAAGTACCTGTCGCTGACGGAGCGCTCGCAGATCGCGCACGCGCTCAAGCTCAGCGAGGTGCAGGTCAAGATCTGGTTCCAGAACCGGCGCGCCAAGTGGAAACGGGTGAAAGCCGGCAACGCCAACTCCAAGACCGGGGAGCCCTCGCGGAACCCCAAGATCGTCGTGCCCATCCCCGTCCACGTCAGCAGGTTCGCCATCAGGAGTCAACACCAGCAGCTGGAGCAGGCCAGGCCCTGAGCGAGGCGGAGGGGAAAGAGAGAGACGGAGAGAGGGAGGGAAAGGCCACCTTCTTCCTCGGCCCCCTCCCCGCTAAAGTTTGGAGGAAAACAAACACGCAAGCAAACAGACGCGCGCCTCCCCTGCAACTCCAGTCCGGGCTCCGTGGAGAGCCCTCCCTCTGGCTCTCTTTCTCTCGGTCCCTCCACTGCCAAACTGAAGGCGAACTTTCCCGCGAGGCGCAGACTGTGCCTTGGCGCGGTCGGGTTCCGGAGCGGGAGTCTCGCAAGCCAGGAAAAGACGATTTACCTATTTATTAGACTGCCCGAACTTTGTATATAGAGCGCTGGATCTCGGCTGCGGGATTTTGACTGAGACAGGACCAAAGGAGCGGCGGCGTCAAGTCTTACATTCCAGAATTGCGGACTTTTGGGCGGGGAAGGGAGATGTTCCCCCGCCCCGTTTCTTTCGGGAGAGAAAATAAGACGAAAAGGACCGGTTTAATTTTTGCTGATGCTGCTGCTTCTTTTCTCCCTCCCTCCCTCCCCTTCTTTTTTTCTTTTTGGTTGCGGCGGAAGGCTGAGCGAATGAGGCATTCTTCAGGTGGATCCCTCCCTCCCTATTGATTCCCCCATTTTATTTAAAGTTCTGGCCTTCTCTCGACTTGGTTGCCTTGTCTAAGCCATGTTCCTTTCCTATTTCAAATGCACGACCTTTTTATTTTTGGTTGTTGTTCTATTGTGTTGCATTAATTTATTTCAAATGTAGTTTACGCTTTTTTCTTAAGTTATGAAAACGAAATGAAACACAGTAATGTTATAAATAAAAACCTGAAAAAAGAAAAGGAAGAAAAAGGGGGAAATGCTCAGAGTGACCCAGCTGTCCTTCCTTCTGCGCGTCTGGCGAGGCTTCTTGGCGCGCGAGGGCCAGCAAGGCGCTTTCCTCGGAGCGGGGAGGAGAGGGCGCCCAAAAAGCTGGAGCTGCCGCCGGATCAGACGCCAGCGGGGAGGTCTCCTCAGTGCAGCCAAAAGCACATGCGGGGGGTGGATTAATAACCCGCCTCACCCCAGGGTCGTCGGAAGAACCGGGGTAGGGATTCGTTCCCACTGCAGGGAACGAAGGGTTGGAAGAGCCCTGGGTGCCATGGGCAAGAGGGCGTGATATTCCGGCTTCCATGGAAGGGGGGCACCCGCCCCTTTCAGTTGTCGGGTGAGGGAGCCCTTCCCGCCCCTCCAAATAAGAACCGCAGGCGCGTCTACCCCAGCTCCGCGCAGCCGTCCGCGGACAGCTCCGCTTTCATTCCGGGCTGCGAGGGGATGGGAAGGGGCTCTGCAGACCCAAATCCAAGGGAATGGGCTGGGGCAGGGTGGGGCGCGGGGGGTGGCTGGCTTGCCGGGAAGAAAGGGAGGTGGGCTCGGTGGGCTTCCGAAGCGGGAGCCAAGCGGGGCGGCCCGCCACCCTCCCCGCTCCGCTCCCACTTGGCCCGCTCGTTCTGTCCACACGAAGGACGGTGCGCTGCTTTCTGCCTCAGCAGATGCGCGGAGAAAGAGGCGCCTCCGTGTTCTGACGAGGCTGCAGAGGGATTCGCCCAAGCTCAGGATCTGCGGCGGGAGGGCAGAGAGGAGCGGGAAAGGCGGGTGTGAGAAGGCGGCTTGGGTGTGGGGAGAAGCCGGAAGAATTGCCCCGACTCGCCTGCGGGAAAGCGCCTTGGAAACGCGACTGAAGCCCCCTGGTCCACCCGGCGCCAGTCAAGACGCGTGAAAATGAAAGCTGAACGGGGAGAGCGGGCAAAGGAGGCCGAGATGCCAAGCGCCCCTTCCTTCCCGGGACGGAGAGAGCAGCGCAGGGTCCGGCCTGGGCTCGAAGGAGGCCGGTCGCACAGGGACAGAAATCTATCACTTTCACTACATCGTTTTGTAAGGTGTGGAATTTCGTTTGCACAGCCTGGAATGCAGCTCTGCAAAGGCGCCTCGTCGCGAGTTCTGCTCCTGTAAGATGCTCTTGGCGTGGGAATTTCATCACCATCTTCAAGTTTCCAACTAAGTAGCCAGATCTGCATGTTTTGCATTAACATTTTTTAAAAAACGAGGCGGTTGTGTTCTGGGTTTCTGAAGTGCGATGTCGGGGCTCCCGACTTCCCAGGCGAGCGTCCGCGGCTGAGCGGCACAGGAATTCGCCTTCAGAGTGAAATAATTTGCTTCTGCCGAGGCAGAGAGGCGAGCTGAAGTCGGCGTTAGTCTTTCCTTGCCGGCGTGTGGAGCGGCTTTGATGGCGGGCGCCGAGGTGCAGCCCTGGAGCGAAAGAGAGCCAGGATCCCAGGCGGCCGAGTCGACACGTGTGCCGTATCCGCACAAGCCCAGCTCTCCATGGATGCGAACTCTGGTTACCGAGAAGCAGGCAACTATGTATGGATGCTGCCTCTTTCTGGATAATCAGAGTAATCATGTACACACATATATGCATATACATGCTACACACACCAAAAATAACTTTTAAGTGGGAGGAACGGGCTGTCAAAGCTTTAAAGGCGCATGTGGGAAAGGGCAGGGGGCAACTTTTACATTCTAGCCCAAGCACCTGCGTTTTGTGGGGAAAGGAAAGGAAAAGCTACATTCCGGCACACAGACAGGGCAAATGGTCGGATCTTTTCGCCTCTTTTTGCAGCTCTTTGGCGCTGAAGCAGCCGCCACCCAAAGACCCGTTTGCCCCGCTGCGAAAGAGCTGCTCGCCCCCCCCCCAACACAACGGCGAGGAAATGGGAAGACCAGGGGGTGGTGGGAGAGCGAGCAAGAGGAAGGCGCAAGAGCCCGAGCAGGCGGCGGAGGACCGCCGACTTCTCGCCCCCCCTCAGACAATAATCTGAAGCGACCGGGCAGAGGCGGGGGGGGGGCGCGTTGTGCTTCATCCAGGCAGGGTCAGGAAAAGCCCCGGAGTGGGAGCCACCAAGGCAGAGGCAGAAGCCAAGAAGATAAACAAGCGAGGGGGGTTGATAGCTGTCATCATCACCATCCTGGCTTTCATTTGGCTGCCTAATGAGTCAGATCACAGGCAGAGAGAAAAATTGTCAATCGCCCAGGCTCTAATGAATTTTTTTGCAAATTGTAATCAAGCCAGGCCGTCTCAGCTCGCTGATTAATGAGACCCAAGAGGCTTGGCCGGCACCTCAGCTTTTTATTCCATCCCATCCTCCCCGCACTAAATTAACAGCAACTTGTCTGCGCTTCAAATTAACTCTCAATGATTAATTCTGATGGGGGGGCCTGAAGAATAGCTCGCGCTAATAGACACTGGCCTCTGATGCTGTTTGAAATTAATACACCCCCCCCCCACCTTGGGCTGCCTGCTTTAATCCAGAGCTGGGCTTTGACATCCCTATATTTGTTGTTACAATAAATTTCACTTACATCTGCACATCAAATCATTACAAAGCCCTCGCGGCCCCGTCCCAGCAAGAACCCCGAGGGCCAAGCTGGAAAAGCGCCGGGACCGCCCCTCTCTCAGCCAGCAAACCCAACTCGAGAGCCGCTTCTTTTAACATTTGATTAGAAATACTCGGGTTCGGGTCTTCTTTCTCGCTTTAAAAATAACAAGCAAGCCAGCAACCAACAACCGTCTTTTTACTCTACAGCTAATTGTTGTGCCATTTAACGCAGCTCTGCGGCAGGAGAACGAATTCGTTTTTAAACCACAAAGAGCAGGATTCAGAATGTTCTATTTCGGGAAAGGGAAAAGGAACGAAATCTCCCTTTTGGGAAAACAAACAAACAAATAAATAAATCTTATTCAGGTTTTTAGGATGCACCGAGAACTGCGGCCCCGGAAGAGAAACTGGATGGCGCTGGGCAAAGGTGCCTCTGGACAAGGGAAGGCGGAGGGCGAGCAAGGATACCATTTCCCCGACCCTGACAGAAAGTAAAGGAAAGTTTGGTCTTCCCAGAAAGAGAGTGCAAAACCAGCCGCCAGCCTGTTTCTCTCTCGCAGCCGGCGCCGGGATGAAGGCTTTGGAGGGGAGCCCGACTCTGCTGCCCCTCAACTCGAGGGCCAGCTGGGGTCTCCTCGAAAGGACCGAGGGAAAGAGGGCTTCCCTCCGCGCCAACCCCGCCCCGGGATCAGGCCTCCCCGCTGCGCATCTCTGGGGCTTCCTGGCTGGGGATGCGCACCAGGCTGCGCTCGGACTCCTGCTCTCCGCAGAACAGCCAGGCCTGTCTCTCTCTTCGTTCCCACCCCCGCGGCCCCCCAAGGATCAGAGCCGGACTCTTCCCTCTTGATTCTGTTTGTATTGACTTAATTGGTTTAATTATTTCGGCTGGGATTGGCGAGCCGCAGACAGCGCCGCATCCTTGGAAGCGCCCCTTTGGTGCCCCAGGGACCCCCGCCGGGATCTCTGGGAGGAAAGGCGGCAGGTCGCTCTGGAAAGCTCAGTGAGAGTCTCAAGGGGCCCTTCGTGGCCAAGAAAGCCTGGGTGGGAGTGGGGAAGGCGGTTTTCCTTTCCTTTCACTCTTGCAGGCACCAAACATTAAAAACCATTTAAAAAACGAAATGGCGTTTTCAGCTGAATAAACTGTAAACTGGGCCACCGAAAGACGCATTGCATCTGGCGAACCCTCCCAAGCCGGGCGCTGGGAAGTAGGCAAGCTTCCCGGCTAAACAAAGCTCTGTTCCCGCACAGACCTGAAGCCGGAGTCAGCTGCCACGTTTTCACGCGCACCCTCTTTCCCATGGGTAGGCAAGCTAAGGCCCGGGGGCCGGATCCGGCCCAATCGCCTTCTAAATCCGGCCCGGGGACGGTCCGGGAATCAGCGTGTTTTTACACGAGTAGAATGTGTGCTTCTATTTAAAATGCATCTCTGGGTTATTTGTGGGGCATTGGAATTCGTTCATTCCCCACCCCCCTCAATATATAGTCCAGCCCCCCACAAAGTCTGAGGGACCGTGGACCGGCCCCCTGCTGAAAAAGTTTGCTGACCCCTGCCTTTCCTTAGACAAGAAAAGGGAAGCAACTGCACTCGGGGATCAATGCGATGAACTGGGGAGGCAAGCATCATCCTCTTGGCCAGGGGAAGGTCTAAGGAGTCCAAAGACGAGGACAAGACCCTCCCCCAGCCAGGACGGAGAGCAACACTGAGCAGACGCCCGGAAGACGAGGGAGGGGACGTGTGTCTGTGGGGGCGGGCGGGTTAGAGATCCGGGCCAACCGACAGCAAGGAGGAGACTTAGATCGAACCCGAATGTTTGCGTCCGCACTGAAGTCCTTTAAACGGCAGTTTGGAAATCGGGCGAGTGGAAGCCGCGAAAGCCTTTGCTTCCTACGCCCCTGTTGCACAAAACACGGAGGCAGCGCAATCCTAAACGCATTCGCATCCCCGCGGCTGGCAATCCGCTGCCTCCAGCGCTTTTGCAACCAGCCAGCTTGTTTGCGCCGATCTCTGCTGGTTTTTAATGCCCGGTTCCAGACTAGATAATCCAAACAGAAATAAAACGTAACCAGTTCAGTGTGTGCAACACAAGCTATCCCCGAGCATCATCACCTGTTTTCAAAAGGTGTGTGAGAAAGGATAGCTAGAAATGCAGGTGTTTAATTTCCAGTGCGGTAGCCCCGGGAGTGTCTCCCAGCAAAAAAGTGGTATAAGCTTTCCTGGACTACATAGAACTAGAGTCCACTAAAAATACCATAATAAACGGGCTAGTTTTTGTGGTTGCACAAGACTCTTCGAATTTTTAATTTTAATTTTAATTTTTTTGCAGATATACTGTATAATAAATTTCCTGGTTCTCATTATCTAGCAAACTCCACTGAACACCTGAGCAAGAACTTCCCGCTTGCTTGCAACTTCTGTGAGCTGCTTCGCACGGTAGTCGGGCCTATGGAGAGAGAAGCTCCCATTTTCTGAAACCTAGCAGTGAAAACCAGCTATTAGATGCATCTCCTGTACCAGCAGCCAGCTCTGTAGGTAGCCTAAAATGTGGAGCAACTTTCCTATGTGTGCCTTAACAGCAAGCAAAAGCCCTAGCCAGATCAAAAACCCCGCCAGATCAATCTTCATATGCAGCCCTTATGGTGTAAACATGAGAAATATGAGCGGGGTAACTGAACATGAATGCAAATCACACTGTCACAGTAATAAACTACCTGAAACATTGACACACAAAAGCAACACCATATGTATGAAGACAACCTGTATGAATTATAAATTACATCATAAAAATTGATTGCCTATTTTAACCATTCAGAAACACACAGACACACACACACCCCAAACTGCTGTTGACTGTCTTCATGCTCCCCTTGGAAGGTCACCTCAGCCTCCCTGCCTGCAGATGATCTCAGGTATTTTGCAAAGCCAATGCACATTTTGGCTTCTGCCATGGGCCCATTTTTAATGCAATTGAGGAATTATGATTCAGATTTAAACAGGTATGCTGAATCAAGAATTCTTAATTATATGAAGCAGTTTCCTTTAACACACACACACACACACACACACACACCACTATCCCCCTGTACTATTTAAGTTAATTGGAACCTGTTCATTGGTGTAACCCAGGACAAGCTTTTGAGTGAAACAGATTCCTTTCACTTTTACACATTGAGGCCACTAAGGACAATTTTATAATGCAATTAATAGCATCACCTAGTCGCTACTGGTTATTAAAAAAAAGTTCAGCAGCCGAGAGTGAGTTTGCTCCTGGCTCAACCAACTGGTGATGGCTGTTTCCTGTTCGTGCCACACTTCCAAGGTGCCGCGTGCACATTCTGCTCTTTTGTGATTCCATTTCATGAGTGAGCTTACTAAGGTTTCCACCCCACAGCAGCCCAAGGCTGGGCAGGGAGCTTTCCAGACCTGCAAGATCAAGGGTCACTCCACCAGACCATCTTGATCGTCGTGTGGCTTAGGTAGATTGGAAAAGTTGCCAACCTGTTTGGAGTCTCGTGCTGAATACTGGCTCGGTATGAAAATGGTTGTTATTTAATTCTTCTGTCCAACGAATTACTAGAGCAGCTCACAGAAGCTACCGCTGTTTACCCTCCCTCCCTTTGAATCTTCTGTTGTTGAAATTTTAGACGGCAAGCTCCTGCGAGGGGAAGGGAGGCTTTGCTGCTCACATTATTCTGAAATCTTTGCTGCTTATGTTACTCTGTAAAGTGCTATCTACAGCAATGGGGCGATGCTTAAGACTACCAGGTGCCTAAGGCTCCCCAAGCACTGGGAAGCAACTTTGCTTTAAATTGTTGTAACCCACTTTGGAACCTGCTGGTGAAGGGCAGGTAATACATTTAATACTGCAATAATAATAACAGCAACAATAAATAAAATAAAAATACAACTTTAACACAAACTTTTTACATTTTAATTTTACAGTAACTGATCTAGTTAAAAATAGAACTTTATGTTTTCTATGTCCAAAAGCTCTTATATTTTACAAATCCAAAAAGACATCAGGCTCGATCCAGACAAACTGAATTCCAACTGAAATCAACGGGAATTATGAATATTTTCTCACATTAATTTCAGCTGGGCTGAAGTGCAATGAATGTATTCTGGATTCAACCCATAATTTACTCATCAATTCTAGAAAAAGTGTTGGCTGGAGCTGACAGGAGCTCTGCGGGGCGAGGAGAGGAGAGAGCAGTCCTTTGGGGGGGGGGGGCGGTTGCGTTTCCCTCTCTCGGGTCGAGTCCTGAAGGTGTCACTTCACAAAATAAGGTGTCTTTGTTTTCCAGATGGAAAGCAAGTACTCATAAGATGCATCCCACCACCACCATTTTTAATTAAAGAAAATAAAGCAAATGCTACACTCAAAACCTGATTAAAACTTAAATACATGATATTGTCTTCTGATAGTAGTATAGTTATTCAAGGATAGACGAATAACTCGCTTGCTCAAACATTTGCTTCCCTTTTATTCAAAGCAGCCTCCTCACTGACATGCCCCCAAGATGGGGTTTATATTCCAAAGTTTTTCAGGGACAACCGTAGCTCTTCAGGGCCTCTCCCATGCATTTTTGCATCACCTCGTAAGTTCTCTGTAAAGCACTTAGCTTGGCGCAGCCTACAACCCTCTGAGCACCTTCAGCGAACTATGTCCATGGTTTGTCATGCCAGCAGCTAACCCGCAGGACGTGCCACACAAATCACGCTGCTCCAAAACCAGCTTCCTCGCCCTGCTCCCTTCCGCGGAAGAGAGAGGTCTTCCTCCCCATCCCGCTCTTTTCCCAGTCAAAGAATGGGGACAGTCCCGCTTGATTTTCCCTCTCGGCAGCCTGAAAGATGGAGGCAGAGCTCTGCGTGCCTCTCCCCACCCCCTCCCGGGAGAATGCTGGCCTTTGAAATGGGAAAATGCTGCAGCCCCATGCAGAAGCCGAGGGGGTGGAGAGGAGGGCGAGAGAAAGGAGCCTGCCTGCACCGTGGCTGCTCTTTTTTCCTGCTGCGCGCGGGCCATAGAGAACTCTAATCTATTTATTTCAAGCCACTTCATCCCCTCTCATGCTTTTGTCATGGCTCCAGCCCCCGGCTTTGTGGTATGACCGCCACTCTTTTAAAAAGCCCCTTCCCCTCTCGTTTGGGGTCTCTGTGGCTGCCTGAATTACAATGGATAAAACAAGATTACACCGGCCTGATCCTATTAAATCCTGCCAACTGATCTGCATTGACCTCTGCTCAGTTCACTCTCCAAACTTTCTTAAAACTTTGCTCCCGTCATTTCTGCATGCAGAGGCAGGGAAATAAACATCACAAAACTGGTCAAAGCCAGCCAAGACAGCAGCTGAGAAATTGTTTTTTTAAATGGTTGTGTAATAATATTAAATTCTGTTCTAATGATTTATCCCCAGCCTTTATTTTTTTCAATTTAATTTTCCAAATTTATAACAAATACAAAACATATAAAAAGAAAAACAAACAAACACATAAAATTTCTTCCCATTCAAATCCAAATTAATTTCCATTATTAAATGACTTCCTCAGATCCTTCCTAACTGATGTTCATTGAATCTCATTTTAGCAATTTTCCAATATTCACTTTCCAATACAATTAAATAGTTCAGATTACTAACTTCCTTTCTTTTCATCATAATCTCAAGCCATAGTATTATACAATTCAACATACTTTAATCCTAAAACAATTTAATACTTGCAAGTATTTCCACTTATGTTATATTATAATATTTAGCTAGATATTCCTTAAATTTCTTCAAATCTTCTTGATGTTCCTCCTCTTTCTGATTGTGGATTCTTCCAGTAAGGTTGGCCAGCTTCAAAAAGTCCAGCATCTTCATCTGCCAATCTTCCACTGTTAGTATTTCTTGTGATTTCCAATTTTTGGCTAGTAAAATTCTCGCTGCAGTTGTGGCATACAAAAACAGTCTAATGTCTTTTTTGTGCAATTTCATTCCTATTATCCCAAGTAGAAAGGCTTCTGGTTTCTTAATAAATGTATATTTCAACATTTTTTGCAGTTCATTATATATCTTTTCCCAGAAGTCTTTCACCTTTGGACACGTCCACCACATGTGGTAGAAGGTACCTTCTTTTACTTTACATTTCCAACATAAATTATCACTCATATGATAGATCTTTGCTAATTTTACTAGGGTTAAGTACCATCTATACATCATTTTCATAATATTTTCCTTTAACACCGTACATGCAGTAAACTTAACCCCTTTCTTCCACAACGTTCCCAGTCTTCCATCATTATATTATGACCAAAATCTCTTGCCCAATCTATCTTCACAGATTTCACTTGTTCATCCTTTGTATGCCACTCCAACAATAAATTATACATCTTAGACAGATTTTTGACATTAGTGTCTAACAACTCCGTTTCCAGTTTGGTTTTTTCCTTTGCAAAACCATTTTTCTTATCCAACTTAAATAATTCATTGATCTGGTAATATTGAAGCCAATCCATTTTGTCTTTAATTTGATCAAATGATCTTAATTTAAATCCTTCATCATCCTCTAGCAAAAGATCAGAGTATCTCAACCATTTACTTTCCATGTTTAACTTTTTTTGGGCCTTAGCTTATGTTGGTGAGAGCCATCTGGGAGTTTTCCTTTCTAAGAGATCTTTATATCTTATCCAAACATTATATAATGACTTTCTGATTACATGGTTTTTGAAACCTTTATGGGCCTTTATCTTACCATACCATAAATAAGCATGCCAACCAAATACATTGTCAAACCTCTCCAAGTCAAGAACATCAGCATTGTCTAATTGTATCCATTCTTTAACCCAGCAAAGAGCTGCAGCTTCAAAGTATATTTTCAGGTCAGGCAGGGAAAACCCCCCTCTTTCTTTTGAATCTGTAAGTAATTTATATTTAATTCTGGGTCGTCGTCCCCTGCCAGATAAATTTAGACAAAGCTTTCTGCCATTCTTTAAAACATTTCACATTATCAATAATTGGTAGGACTTGAAATAAAAACAACATCTTTGGCAATACATTCATCTTAACCACTGATATTCGGCCTATTAATGACAATTTTTATGCAGCCTTTATTTGTTTGTTTGTTTGTTTCCTTTTTTTTTTTTTTGGCTGACTAGCTTATTGGACAGGATAGAAAGAAAACAGCAAGCAAGTGTGGCTTGGATAATAAACCCAGTTCTCAGCAGGATTACTCAGAACTGATTCCCTCCATGGAAGTTGTCCTAGCGGCTGCTCTCATGTATGAATCTGTGTTTCAAATCTCCCGCTGGGTAGCATAATATGGTTGCTGGCCCAAGTTGCTGGCCCCCCAAAAGCTGGCCCAAGTCAAATTCAAAAGAGTAGTAATGTTTGAATTCAGGTAGGATCTTCAGGTTAAGGAGCTGCGAAAAATGTAATTTTCCGTTCACTATGACTTTCTTTGTCACAGCTCTGCTCTGATGGGAGCAGCCAGCTGGTGTTGCTCTGCCGTCTGTGTACTTCAAGAAAACCCAAGTCCCTAGACCCTAGTAACTCCCTTTTTTTGAGGGGGGGGGGATTCCTCTCTCCACAGCTAAACTTTTCTCATCCCTGTCACTGGAAGTTGCCCTCATAGCCCCCGGGGTCAAGGCCCAAACTGGACTGGATTCTGGATTTTGCTGCTGATTACTATGAAATGTCTACATGCCACATCTATTGGAAGATAAGGACTCTCCCCTCTGCTTTTTTTTCTTTAGGAAAACCATATATGTTTACTATAACAACTCAAACTGACATTTCAGAATGTCCACATTTGTTTCCCAGCCCACAGTCATGCACAGAGGGAACATTTGCAAGGGAAGATTAAATAAAACCATAAAACACTTTTGTTTGGCACCGTCTTGGGGATGCATAAATTGAACTCTGTTACAATTTGCAACTTACAAATCTGAATTGCAAACAAAATGGGCAAGTGCCATTTGAGATGAGGAAAACTTGATTTCATTAAGAAGTGCATCATATGTGCAGTCTCATAAGCAATAGCATGGTGTCTTATTTCAGTGTTGCTCAGAAGTTTAATTCAGCCTATGTGAGCTAACCTGATAATGTGGTATCACCTAATGTGTTTACCACAACCACACAGGGCAGCCACCACCAACTTGTACTGGGTGGGGCTGCTGACACCCAAAACATACGGAGCATACCAGGCTGGTGAAAGATATGGAAGCTGTGGGAATGTTCAGGGACGCAGGAGAGGATATATTGTTTATTAATATCCTTCCTAACTTGTGCTAGCAAGTTCGATAACTTAGCAGAGTTTTAACATTCCCCTTTAAACGCACAGCAGGTAGCTGGTTGCAAGCTTGTTTAAGCTTTTCAATAGATTCCTGGTAATATCCCTTATTTCCCTCTTAAAAGAATAAACACGCCACAATCTTGTTTAAAGTATATAAAAGTAGTTTACTCACATTCTGTTCACAGTTGGATCCCAGAAGGCATATGTACATATGGATCTACCCCATATGGGGGGGGGTTAATCCCAGTGGCTGCAGACTGGCAGTCACTGAAGTTCAGACAATGAAAGGAAGATGGAAAAGAAGGGAGGAGGGCTGCATGCCTTGTGCTTTTGTTACCTGCACAGGTAAGGTCACGCCCACCTCTAGTCACATGCAAAAGGAAGGATGCTCCAGCCCAGGAGGAAACAGGAAGTTTTTGACTGGCTGAACCAAACATCCCCTTGCATGTCCACTCTAGGAAAACAAGGAATGTTGTACTTGACTGCTACTTATGTA